CCCAAGCTTCCCAAATCCCAATTCGTAAATTTCCAAATCCCTAAATTCTCAAATCCCTAAACCCCGAAATCCAAAAACTTCCAAATCCCAAAATTCCCAAATCCCCGAAATTTCCAAATCCTCAAATTCCCAAGATCCAAAACTTGATCACCAAGTGTCCTTGTTCCGAAATTTCAAAATCCTCAAATTCCCAAATTCGTAAATTTCCAAATCCCTAAATTCTCAAATCCCTAAACCCCGAAATCCAAAAACTTCCAAATCCCAAAATTCCCAAATCCCAAGCTTCCCAAATCCTCAAATTCCCAAGATCCAAAACTTGATCACCAAGTGTCCTTACTCCGAAATTTCCAAACCATCAAATTCCCAAGATTCAAAACTTCCTGCCAAACGATAACGACGATATTGATAATAGGTGCAAACGGTGCCCGATACGTCGGCAAATCAGCGGCCGCTGCTGGAAAGTACATAGATAAATCGCAAAACGCACAATGCGAGGGATGCATGGAACTTGGCCATCCAAGAGCACACGCATCTGACCCAGACGCTACAGGCCCTCGAGACAGCGTAGAAAGATATTCCGAGTCAACAGGACAACCGAAATCTGGCTTCCTAAGTAAAGACGACCAGAATTTGGTGGCTCATCATGCTTTAAGTCATAATATGAGCCAGGATGCAATGAAACTTTTGAACAAGGGCAAATACACTATGAATGTAACATTGGCAAATAATGAGTTTCCCATTGCCTTACCGAAAATGAAAGTGTTTTATAATGGTAAACCGAGTAATAAGGCACATGATATCGGGCATGTGGTGCTTGTATTGAAAAATTATGAAGGTAAACGTGGTAACAAAGATGCCGATGTTTTTATCTACACAATGTATCCGATGATAGGTTAGATGTTTTTACATGCAAGCAAGGAATTACAAATTAAATTATTAATTGTGAATTCTTTGTATTGCACGAGGCTCGTATTGGTTATTGGATTATGACATTACCGTCTGATGATTTTTTCGCAATTAATCTATTGAGATATCTCTGCTTGCTTAATGCACGATTCAGGGCTTCAGGAATAGTGCATTAAACACGAGTGGATAATTTAGGAATATTGTCAAAAGCGTAGCAAAATCCCTGATTTTTCATCGTTCGATAATTTAGAGACCCTCTTTATGCTGCTGAAAATCAATCGGTAAATCAGGATTCCGTCGGTATAACAGTTTTACTTTGATGATAAATTTCAAGTACAAATTAGTTTCAATTTTTGGTAAAACATTATTGGCTCTAGAAAATTATCCATTCAAATAATGTAAAAAAATTTAGTATATATACAAATTCATATTGTAATGAAATTATGATTTATTTGTGTACCTTCATCAGTTACATTGTAAAACATAAAAACTGCATACATTTATACATACATGTAACAAATAGATTACATTATATTAATCCCATAAAAATATCTATATTGATCAGGATGGCAGCTATGCGTATGAAAATATTTATGTATTTTAATTGAAAATGTTAATAAGTGTCATAGATTTTATAAAGATCTTTGTAATTAATTCATATGTAGTAGAGGTAGATCTTAGCTATGATAAGATATATTTTATTAAAAAGAAAATAAATAAAATTTGTCATTTTTTAAATAATAATTAATTGCTACATTCCATAATGAGCATAATATAGCGAATTCATCCTTGAAAATTAATCCCACATGTAACAATTATTTACAGGAACTTTAAACAAAGGAATACTTATGAATCTATTCATAAATTAAGATCTTGATCAACATAGTAATATCTGTTCGCTATAAAGCTCCATAAACATAACAGTTAACAGTACATAGAATCTTGAAAACAATTTCAATCATATTTTCTATATATCCAATATAGCGAAATTTATAGAAGACGTAATAGTAATGGAGTTAGTTGCTTATGTTATATAAACGTTCTTATAAAGATTTAAGAACTTAACATAGCATATATACGTATCACTTAAATATCAGTTAAATTGTTATAATTACTTTGTCTTATTTATAAGGAACAGAGTTGTAAGATTCATAGTTAAAGCGTTTTAAAAGGAGAATTCTCCTTCTCAGATCAATTACTTTCCCTTAATCAAAAATATGTATACATTATAGCGTATATCTTTTATAATTATATACCTCTGATAATATTAGTAGTATTCAAATTTGTAAATAATTTTCTCGATACTTTCATATCACCTAAAAAGCATATCAATAAAATTGGTACTTAAGCGTGACTAGCATCACAGCTGTAATTGTAATATTTCGTAATATCAATAAATGTTTCAATTGTTTCGAATTCTATAATGACTATAACGCGGCTGGACCAACTAGTGTATGTGTATTAGCAGGAGATACCGGACTTCCGTGGACCTCTAAATCAAATTCCGAATTTGATAAACTATTTCTCATTACTCTATTCCATCGATTGGCATTTTCGTTTAATGTAGTAAAATGCTGATTCGCTTCTGCTTCGTCTGTAGATCTTTCGCAAGCACGAAGAGCTTCTTGTTGAATAATTATTTCATTAGTTATATATGCTTCGCGTCGAATTTTATCTCGTAATTTTGGATTTATGTCGGGAATGCACGACCGCAAAATTATCATTATAAGAGCAACAACGTTCTATAAAAAGCAAAAATTGTATTAAATCAGGAATATAAGATTTGTTCTCTTTTTTATAATGAGAATGTTGAACTTATACCTCAAACACGACGACGAATGCTAATCTGGCAGCTAATACGTGCCAGAACATAATTGTATATTGATATTTATGTGGCGAATCTGGTGGTTCTCTGTAATCTGGATATCTACATATTTCTACTTGTTCATAGCTAGGTATAATATGCGGTTCAGTCCCATTTTGCAGATCACTTGTATTAAACTTTGAAAGAGAATGTTCTAAGAAACCTTCTAGAGAATAATTATCGGAGACAGTGAACCGATAAACTAACCTTGGTATAAAGTTTGACGTAAAAGCTATAATGAATGCCTGAAATATAATTCTGTTATTTAATGTATTCATCAAATATAATTTAGAAACACATATGATTCATTAAAGAATACTTACATTAGTTATTACAGATAATTTCGACACGGAATCAAGAATGCGATACCATATTCCTATGTCCGTAACTCGTTGTCCAACTGGCCTTCTATACATTGTTAGCAACTTTTTGGCATCTAATCGCATTTCGAAGACATTATTTAATAATGCAAAAAATGGTGCTAATGGAAATGCAGCGACGAAAATAGTAACAAATCCATACTGTAGAACTACGGTTAATAGTAATAAAAAGTTAAACAAAATATAAATACATTTAATAAACTTTGAGAGATTCAAATCATTACCCATTTCCAAGTATTCTGGAAATAAACTTCTTGGACCCCATTCCACCAACTTATAATCCTTAATCCATTGGAGATACTTTCTGGAAGAGACTTTTTTCTTTCCGTCTTTCGTTTTCATTCCGACATGTACTTTCAAAGTATTTAGCCATTTAAAAAATAGCGGGAAAAGCATTTCTAATATTGTATTCATAGCTTGCTTTCCGATCATAATGATGCTTAATTGAATACATAATTCCATAAGGCAACCACCTGGACCACATTCTTCTTGTCGATAACGGAAGAAACGCCTATACTTTCCTGGATAACCAACAAACTTTCCTTTGAAAAATGCTATATAAAAAATGGACGCATAGTAATTGACAAATTCTAATAAATATATTTTTAACGTTAAACTGTCATCGAATTCAGTCTGAGTACGAAGGAGTTCGATCTGTAAAAATAAAAACAAATATTATTAAAAAATTGATGGTAATCATTCCGTTGTTATAATATTGATATAGATACCTCTGTTAAATATTCAGCCAGCCAAACGTAAACCCAATTAAACACAATAATGCAGCACAAATTAATACTAGCCGCAGTAGCTGTAGTAAAAAGGATTGCATAACTTGTTACCATGGGATGGCCGTAAACACTTAATGCAGTTAAAACGGACATTCTATATAAAACAACTCCTAATACGGCAGCCATCGCTACAGCAATCTACAATATGAAGCGCAATTAAAGAGAATTTTGTTATTAAAAGGATATTACTCGATAAGTTCTTTCCTATAAGCATAAACAAACCAGCAATAAAACAACAGAGAAGCTGAGGATCGTGGCTGGGACTCTCATTTTCCAAAATGGAACCTTTGGTTCTTCTGTATTTGTAATAATATTGACAGACTTTTTCTTTATATGCGCTAAACGTGCTAAGTACTGGGGTCGAGGGTGTTCCTCTTGAGCATCCAAACCAGTCAAGTCCCATCTATGAGTTATTTCTACTGAATATCTTTTCCACAATTCCAAGAATAATGTTGCTGACAAAAATAACATAAAAAATAAAACATCTAATCTAATAATAGTCATATTCAGTGATACACACTTACCCCATAATGACATAAATATTGAGAAGAATACAGTAGATGGGTTATCAAATAAATATGTAATCCTTGCATGCAGACAAGTTTCTTTCAAATCCCAATATCCGCAAAAATGATCACACAGTGGGCACATTTCAATAGTACCGTTCCCATTACAAATATCTTCACTTGGTTCATTGGAATATAAAGTTGCACAACTATATATAAAACATAAAAGACCAACAATGCTAGCAGGTATTAGCATGTGCGTATAGAACCCAAGCCAAGCGAAGTAGAGTCCAATCTTGACACCAAAATACTCTTTGATATAATCTAAAGGTTGATAATGAAGACATTTTCTTAGGCTTGCCCATTCGTTGTATAAAAGAGATCTCATACAGTCCTGTGCATGTAGGTCACCCTATAAATAAAAAAATACATACTGTACTTTTATTACACTTGAGTATTCAAACTAATTTTTCTAAAAATAAAAATAAATTCTTATATAGTATTTTTTCATGATGTTTATTCGTTTTAAAAGCCGCAAATAGCAAGAATTGTCATCCTAACAACGAGGTTTGGTTCGGATCGTAATAAATTTTACAACTGTAGTAAATTTAAATACTTTTAGAGAACTGATAGTAAGATAAAGTATTAACGGTCATTTCGTTAATCGTACAGGTACGAGGGACCAGATAGGTATGAGTAAGATATAGATACAATACTGTCTAGCCTTTAAACGTGAAGATTATTGCAATTCTTAAACTATCCCAAATAATCCTTAGAAAAAGGAAATTGTGGAACCTTCCTTTTATGGCACCCTTCAAAGTAATAAAATTTAGGTCTAAACTTACAGAACTTTCCTAAAAAATACAGAAATGTTATATTTGTCTTATTTTTAGTTAATTCTGAAGAAACAGAAATAAATATAATGTTAGGTGTAAAATTCAATGTTAAAAAGAAATTCAACCTTGTGAAAATGGAATAAAAATAAGTCTTATAAACCATCCATAATCTCAATACATTCTCTTATAACCAATTATTTGTTATTTTATTTAATGTTACATTTACGAGTTACATTTTATGTTAATTCTAAAGTAAAAATGATTCATCAAATGAATGTGCGCAAGCGTGGTTTTTGCTGTACCTTTAAACTAGGATTTAAAGGTACAGTTAAATGTACAATTTAAATCCCCGGTTCGAATACTATGAATCGATAGACAAAAGGAGGAGTAATACCAGGTGGCTGTATTATAGACCCAGACTAGGATACCGCCATTGGACCCTGCCCATTTATAGACGTATATAAAAATTGCTTAGAGTAATAAACAGTAATCCTATAAGCCGTTTTATGTCCTTAAAGTCAGGTCGTATTCTCGAAGACAAAAGGCTAGACATAGACGAATTGTGAATAGATCCTACGAGGATTTTTCGATGAATAAGCAGTTTGGAACGTGCGAGCGAACAATAACTTGGTAAATATAATAAAAGTTTTAACAGTACACAACTTATCGGAAAATCGAAATTCAGATACTAAAATTAATATTTGACAATATTACTCATCAAAATGTATAAATCATTATCCTTCTCATTCTGATAATCGTTTAATAAATAATTTATACAATTATTAAACAATAAAAAAAGAAAGGAACTTACGTCATGAAGGGGGTATGCTGCTACATACGCTTTTTCCGAAATTAATCTTTCCATTCCAAATGCAAAATCGTCATGCTTAGTCTCAGTAAATCTGGTTCTATCTAAGATAAATTGCACGATTCTGGCACGAGTTGCAGGAGTAAAAAAGTTAGGGGAATCTAAATCGAACAAATATTCTTTGTCGCGACTGTAGACTGCTGTAAAACTGTGCTTCATGGTTGGAAAAATGGTTTTATCAACATAATATTTTTTCATGAATCTTCTAAAGAATGTATTGACTTCTTCGATTAACGTATTACTACGATTTTCAGAAATTACCATGCCAGGTAATTCCTTCATTGGCAGTCTAAGTTTTAATATTTCAGCATATCGTCTTAATACATCTCGAGGTGCATGTACTTTTATAAAATGTAAACCATTTGGTTCTGCTTGTTCATATTCTAAATTTAAGCCTTCCTTTTCTAAATTTTTTTCAAATATCTAGAAATGACAAATAAATATGAAGTATATAAAAATTATTTATTTATTCATTTACACATAATTATGTACTTACACGTCTGTATTCAGTGTTGCGATATGTTTGAGCTCCTGTGTCATATTCGTCCCAGACAAGAACAAAATCAATGGTTCGGATTTCATCACGGAAATATAAACTGAACATTGCACCATAATTGGAAACCTGCAAAGGAGGATAATTAATATTCTATGTTTCATGTTACATCCTTTTGCTATTATCAATGAAGTTTTAAATAAGTATAAATTCTATGTATAAATAAATTTTGATTTACCGATCTTGATCCTCTTCTAATGTTCCGCAGATCCGTACAACTGCCTTCAATTACTGTTTCATCAGTATCATTAATTATTGATCCATCCTGATTACGTGTTTGTTCAATCTCTTCCATAGAGAATACACTGTGCATACTATTCAAACTGCTCATACTTGCAATACCATTGAGTGGAATATTGCGAAGACTTTGATACAAAGTTTGCAAGGATCCTGCATTTAAATCACTTTGTACCGACTGATAAACACTTACTTCAGATGTATTATTTCTACGATCTTGTATCCATGGGACAGAAACTTCCTCGTCATCCTCCTTCATTTTTTTTGTTAATTCAATTGATCAATATCCAAATTCTACTTACTTGTATCAAACAATGTGTACTACATGCAAGCCAAATAAAAAGATATGTGTATACTCAAAAGAAAATGTTATAACTTTTTCTTTTATAGATATATCTTATCTAATCTCAAATTATAACTTTGCAGCAAACTAAATAAATACTACAACTAAGCAACATAATAGACACAAGCAACAAGAATAAGTAAGAATTTAGTATACGGTTCATAGATTAATATTACATAAAAAAATAAATTACTGCACATGTATTATTGCAATAGACACATAAAAGGTGCTAATTAAAATACGTGATAAAAAATGTTACATGATTAACTTTGCGCAAATCTAACCACAATTTTTGCTAAACTTTCTACTATGAAAAGCAATAATAAAAATACGTAATATCCTTACAGAATGATCATATTTCCATCGGATATCTTTAACTCCGGATGCTGTTTAGATATGGAGCCAGGAACTTGTCACGTATTTGTATTGATATGTGATTTCATTGTTATTCATATTCTTAACCCTCCTTTTACAACATTCATACACCTTGATTGCGTTTTCTAATTATATTAAGTACTTAATTTTTTTGCATTTTCGAGTGCATTATGTATACCAAGTGTATTAACTATAGTGCGTATACATATTAATATAAAAAACATGTAATGGTCAAGATGGATCATAGCCCCTGATTCACATTACTATCTATAGTATTACAACAGGACCGTCACAAACGTATTTACAAACGGACAAAAAACATGTATTTACGTGCAGTCTTTACTAATGTTTAAGGTGTAAAAATATAATAAAAGTCAATTTCGATAGGTAATCTAATATTTTATTTAACTTTTAACTATAAGTACAAATATTTTTTTATAAAATATTAGCAATATAAAATTTTATTTTTTTAATACAAAATAAATAATGTATAAATTTTTTCACTTCATGATGTAGTCACATAATTTAATATTATTCGTACTATTTTTTTAACAATGAAGTACATACATTATGTCATAACTTGTATCTTTTCTAGATGTTAACAATATAAATATTTTATGTCATATATACATAGTATAAATGTTTAATTATATTTTTGCATTTATATAATCTTTATATCATTTAAAAATCAATTTGTATATACATCTATTATAATACAAGTAATAGAATTACATTATAATACAAGTCATACTTCTTGCATGACTAAGGAATTGAGTTCATCCTCCCCCGGGCATAACACAGAGTCAATATTATAAAGTGCTGCGTGTAAAGTTATTAGAGACCATGACACACCTGAAACAATAATGTACACAATTTAAATACAGCTGAAAATTATAAAATTAACAAATTATATATAGCTTGTTTACCAAGAATCCAAAAGAGTGCGTGAGCTGCACCAACCAAACAAAATATTGGTACTGACAACATTCCAACCAAGCAATAAATTTGAGCTAATTTCAATTTATGATTAAATATCATAAATTCTTGCCTAGCATGGCGTTGTGAAATTTTATAACAAGTTCCAAGAAAAGCTGCTACAGTCAATAGCAACAATGGAGAAGTAATCCTAATATTTGAAATATATTGTTTTCAAGAAACAAAATATTACATTTCGATAAAGAATAATATCAATGCAATAACACTTACAAGCAGTATATGATTAATCCAATGAACACAAATAAATAGTTGCTCTGAAAATATTCAATATTTTTCATAATTCGTTTACTTAATCTTGGAAAGCTAGGTGGACGCCTCAAATTATTTGAATTAAGGAATAAGGACCATGGCCTAATATTAGCCTTTCTATGTTCAATCCATTCATGAGCTTGTGGATATTCATTGATAAATTGTGGTAGTTGTAAAAATTCAAGCCTAAAAAAAGAAAACACGAATTGTCATCATTAAATTATAACACAAATTATAAATAATTGAAGGATTAGTATTATATATTTTATAATTTAACTACAAATTTCAGTACAATTAAACTAAAATCTAAATGAATTATTTAAAATACTGATCTACATTAAGGTGATAATAATTTCACATATGTGATTACAGGTTAAATAACCAAAATCTGTTACTGAAATGTCACTGCCATTGCTATCATATTTTCCTGTAGATAAAATTGCGAGTACCTAAAATTTAATTTCTGATCAATTTTAAATAATTACCCTTGACTAGATTTTTGTTTTTGTTGTGGTATGTGCATATCACCCCCGACATCAATTTCCACGCTTGCCATATTCCCTTTTTGACTGTATGAACTTTTGGAAATGACACGCGAGAGGAGGAAGCGACTATCTTCTGTTTTAGTTCCTTACGTAGAACTTTGCGTCCCCACCACAGAAACAAGCACAGTCTCGTTTAGAAAAAACCCGTCGTAGGCAGTAAAATTCCCATCATATCGCACATTGAACTACTATGTTACCCCTACCATCGAGCATCCCTGACTCCAACACATCCGAAAATGTTCCCATACAAACGCTACAGGTTGCAGCTGCTCGATAAAAATTCTTTCACTGCCTTCGTAAAACTTCTTTCACGAAAAGGGCTCTTTGTCTGAATAGAGTAAGGACGCGAAAGATTTTCCTTGCTGGCGTAAGTTTTTCAATACCCTTATTTCAAAGACGTAAAAGAAAATCTCTTTCTTAATTGTATAATACTATGTTTGCATGCGATTTTAATTGAATTTTCTATTTAAATTCAATATTTTACATTGTTCTTATTCAGGAAAATGGAACACATATTTCTTTGTCTAAGTTTCCTGAACCTTACGATGTTCGAGAGGATAACATATATTTGAGAGAAATTTATGTCGTCCTAATTAATAAATCCATATGTTTATTGGTTTTAATAATATTTTACTGATTTTAATAATACTGTACCAAATTTTGTACAGTGTTTTCATTGCTTTGGGAGCTTGAAAGATCGATGTAATTTTGTTCGTTCTATTCGGATGATTTCATAAGTATTGTTATTCTTTCAAGTTTTTCACGATCAATACGTATTGTCAATATAATATTGTCAATAAATATTGATTTAAAATTTTCAAACCTACAAATTCCCAAATCCCCAAACTTTCAAATTTTAGTCGTCAAATTCCTAAATTTTCATATTCAAATATTTCTAAATTCTGAAAATTTCAAATTTTTAAATATTCAAATCTTCAAAGCTTCAAATTCCACCATTCCGAATTTCCTAATCTCTAAATTTTTAAGGTGAATATGGACAATATACGAAAAAAATCGACAAGTATACATATGCATACGTATATGCCGATCGTCTGTGATCTCCATTATGTCATGCATGTGTGTACATATTGATGATTTATCTTATTAATGATAATAACACAGCGTTAGTCTTTGTTTGTTACAGGAATACGAAATTATTGAATTCTGAAAGAAAAGCAAAGGGGACCTTAACAAAACTTATTTTCGCCTATTACTCATTGAAAAATCATCGCTCATTTTAGTCGTCCTTCAATCTTACGTAAAACGCACGAAAGAATAAGTTTTAGAATTTCACGAGGATGCTTTCTCCCTTGAAAATGTGTGCAGATGACGCTACTATGTGCTACCATTGTGAATAACCGCAACCAATAGGAGAACGCGTTACATCGAATTCTATAGGTAGCAATACCTAAAACGTGTTCTGATTGGTCGATCTCAATTTTCCCGAATAACATCGGGGCCACCCGCCATAACGAACGTAGCGTGGTACGTTGTTTGAATGAACGTGTTCAAACGTAATTGACGAGATTTCTTAATTAGTATCGATTTTACCTTAGCGTATACAGTGTACACAGGACGATTGCATGCTCAAGAACTTATGGTGACAATTTAAAGTCATGGAAGTTGCACAAAAGTTGCATTTCGACGCGTGCGACATTCAGGACGAGGAGCTGAACATCAGCTGTCGTACGAACAGCTCCGGTTGTGATGTTGACGATATTTTAGATTCATCCGCAGAGGATCTTGGATGTTCACCACCTCTTCAACCGAGAAAATTATCCTTTAGTCATACGATGGACTGTAGTGACAGTGAAAACAATCAATCTGTGTTAATTAATAATAACAAAACTCCAGTCAGTATCGTGACAGGTTAGTAAGATTATAAATTTTCTAATTCTTTGGGTATTGTTTTTACATGATGTTTCTTGAGTGCAACATGTATTTTAAATCATTATTTACCATCTTTGTGTCTTGTTCGCGGATTTGATGGTTATGTTTGAAAAATTAGAAGCTTGTTACAACTCATTGGTATTTATTGTAATGGATGCTGTTTAAATCGTAAGTATTTAAATTTAGGATTATATACATCTTTCTTTCTATATTTCGCTCTCTATGAAGCTGTCTCTATAAGTTTTGTGAGTTATTTTGATAGATTAAGGTCTCTGTTTGCTTTGTTATTGAAGTGTTTGTGTGTGACCACAGTTTATACTGTTATCTTCTGCTTTTAATGTCTTTATTTTGGATTATCAATTTCTAATTCTTTATTTACAAGTTCTGTTTATATGCTTTGACAGATTTATTACATACTTAAAGTAGTAGTGATGCATGGTGTGAGAAAATTGATATTTTTGTTGGGCAATTGTTTTACATCATGTGTACAAGTTTATACATACTAATTAATTAATAACATATTGTCAGTAAATAGAAATGAACTGTGTACTGATATTATCTCAGAGTTTTTAATTAATTAGTATGTTAAATATGAATATTTAAAATACATGCAATTTTTAAGTAAAATTAACATTTTTTTAAAAACATACATTCATTTCATTTATAATAACAACATTATGTAATATATGAATGATTGTTTTAACATATGAATAAGAAAGTCCATATTTAACCTTTATATAAAATTGATAAAAAATTTCTGTATTTTATTCATTTTTTTAAGCATAAGCTCATTTTTTATGAAATAGTAATATTTCATAAAAAAACATAAATGTAAAAAGGAGAAAAGGTAAGGAAATAATATTTGGAAATTATATAATTAAGTATTGACCATGGTACTTTCCGTTCAAAGGAGGTCCTGTCTACAAATCAATGACCAGTCATGTAGACAAACATATAAGGTACTGTCATGCATTGGTCTCTTGTTTTATGTGACACTTATTATATGTGGATATTCAATTATGAATAAATGAAATGTCTGTTCATAAAATTCTTTTTATATGTGAATTGAGACCTTGTGTAATATAAGAGACCAGTGCAGTACTAATAAGTGTTTAAAGATTTAATTTAAAAATGCATTAATATGTTTAAATTACATAAAGATTTTAGCCTGAATGAGCTAAATATCTGGACCCCAGATCCAGAATGTTTTAAATCTCCTTTCTTTAAAAAAACGATATTTTTTTACTCTTTCTAATGGGATAAATTATTTGGTCTAAACAAAGAAAGTGTTAATTCTAGCAAAATTATAATACTTTTTCATCGTGTTTCTGGGGTTCGGATATAGTTAGTAAATTTTATGAATGTTATTGATAATATACTTATTACAGGTACATCAAGGATTAGAATTCCACCTCGTGAAAATGTTTGTTCACAAAAAATGTCAATGGCATGTAGTCCACCATATAAACGTGTTAGAGCTTTACGTCTTTTTGACTCGCCAGCTACCCCAAAAACTCTAATGGAGAAAAGCACAATACATACTCCGTTTCCTACTAAGTGTACTAGACTATTTTCATTAGACAAACCAAGAATCTGTAATTACCAAAACAAAACCGATAAGCCAGCTGCAAATGTAAACCCTTTTACACCAAATGGAATGTTGTTAACTGCAAGAAAACGCACTAGGTCTAAACGTAGTCTGAATGGGTAAGTTTTGATAAATAAGTATTGTTTCATTGCATATAGTATAAAATAAAAAATTACTTTATTTATATATACATTGCCTATGCATATAATATTAATATATTTATAACCACATTAACATATATTGTCCTTTTTATACCAGTTCCCCTGATATTCAAATTCCAAAATTTGATCTTGCCGATTCTGAAGACTCAGATAACGAAGTCGAACAGGCAACAAAACGCGTAGCGTTACAAGACTCAAACATTCCCAGATATCATCAGGAATTTCACGAGTTGGGCTTGATTGGTACAGGCGAATTTGGATCGGTTTACAAGTGCATCAATCGATTAGATGGATGCATTTATGCTATTAAAAAAAGTATTAAACCAGTTGCTGGAAGTATTAATGAAAAGAATGCTTTAAACGAAGTATACGCTCATGCTGTTCTTGGCAAACATCAGCATGTCGTACGATATTACTCTGCTTGGGCGGAAGATAATCACATGATTATTCAGAATGAATATTGTAATGGTGGTAGCTTAGCAGATGCAATTGTCAATTTAGAAAAAGAAAAGAAACAGTTTACTGAAGCGGAGATACGACAACTGTTGTTACACGTTGCTGAAGGTTTAAGATACATTCACAGTATGCAATTAGTACATATGGATATCAAACCTGGAAATATTTTTATCTCAAAGGAAAAAAGGTTACTCGCAGTGAACTATGATTCAGCAGATGATGGTTTTGATGAAGAAGAAACTATAGAAGAAGAAATTACGTATAAAATAGGTGATCTAGGTCATGTTACATCTGTTAATAACCCTCAAGTCGAAGAAGGAGATTGTAGATATTTACCGACAGAGATTTTACGCGAGGACTTCAGTCATTTGCCAAAAGCTGATATTTTTGCATTAGGATTAACCGTTTATGAAGCAGGTGGTGGAGGTCCATTACCTAAAAATGGGCCTGAATGGCACGATATTAGGAATGGAAATTTAAAAGAATTACCTCATTATAGTCGTGATGTCAATGAATTACTGAAAGTAAGTATTCTTTCTATAAAGTAAGTATTGTAAAATTTCTTTGTATAAGCATAATATAACAATTCTATTTTTATTCAAGTTAATGGTTCATCCAAATCCCGAAATGAGACCTTCAGCAGTATGTCTCATTCAACATAGAGTACTATGTCCATTTGGAAACAAAACGAAAGCACAACTTCGACGTGAATTGAACGCAGAAAAGCTAAAAAATGAAATTTTATCGAAACAACTACAAGAAGCGGCTAAATGCCTAAAAACTATTGCCCCGAATGTAGCGGCAATTAATAATAACATAAATGCCGGAGGCTATAAGTTAAGGTCTACGCCAACTAGAACATCCTCTCGAGTAGTGGGTAAAAAGGTCAATCGAAGTAATAGCACTACAAATTTTTGAATGTTCTGTGTTATGTTTATGTTGGACTAAAGGAGAAGGGTAAAGGTGCTTAAGGAAAAAGAACTTTTCTTTTTAAGTGCCTTGACATTGTGATATGAAATAATTCTAGTTGATAAGTGAAAAAATGCGATCACTATTTGCTATGAGAATAAAATGCTACACAGAGTGAAATTGTATAATAGTTATGAGTAAACTCTTGCAGCGATGAAGATATTATATTAATAAAGTAAGTTACGAATTGCAGACGAAAATTATAAGCAGGTAATTTTTTCACTCTTTATATTTTTTGTTTCATCGCTAATTGAATTTTTAGATGGGTAATACAGTAATTTGATACTGTTTATCTGTATACATTTCTCGTGTATAAGGTGAAAAGTAACTGTATAGGATTTTGGAAGAATCTAATTATTACTAATATTCATTAATCTATTAGATTGTTCAAGACATAAGGTATATAAAATTTCGGAATATGTTTCATTCAGGAAAATAAGAACAATTTTATTGCATATTGTATTATGTAGCTCGATTGTTCTTGTTACAAGTTTTTACTTATGTACTTTTGTACATTTATGGTATGCACTCATTTTAAAATATTACCATTTTTTAGTCTAACTAATCAGTATTATAAAGAGGAGGGAATTCTTTTTAATATCAGGTACTAGTTAACATTTTGACAATGTGATATTTCCGATTTCTTTCTTTCCATTGGGTTTGAGGATTTCTGTAAGAAATAATCTGGGAGTACTAACAATAGACTGTAACAAATTGTTACAAATGCATTATATTTTTATAAATAGATATTTACGTATAATGGTTTAGTGTTGTATATTGTCTGATGTTTAAAAATAATACTAATCTGTATTATCCATCATTTGTTACTTTCAAGTTCTTGTCAAATGTTCAAATAATTATTTTCCTTTATTTATTACAATTTTCATACTCAGACAAAAGACTGTTACTTTAACATATCATATTAAATAATTTTTATATATTTTCACAACTTAAATTCAATAATTTTTAGGAGTATATACAACTATCTTTTAAATTAGTAATGAAAAATCAATATTATTTACTGCCATACAATGATATAATCATTTTTTTTTTTTTTCTTAAATAAAACTCATGGTTGCCATTATAGAACTTCATCTAAGCATAATTCCTAGCCCTTAAAATTACGATTTTACTCTGTGTATAATTTGTATAAGAAATTCATAACTCTTAAAATCACAAGTGATTCAAGAGTGAATCTAAACGTAAATATTTTGAGTTTAAATTATTTTTATACTATTTTTTTATAATCCTATTGTCTTTGGCATGCTCTAAAATTCGTATTATACAATGTTTCCTTGTGTTTTTATTATATATATTTGATAAATACTGATGTATAATAACCCGCGTTTCTAGCATAGGTGGTACTACTGATTAGGTGTTTCTTATTTTATTTACTAATATGAAAATTCACAAAAAAATATATTCCATTCATTATCGAATACGTATCTAATTTAAAGATATTACAAATTTTTCACATTGGACAGATCAATCTGTGAATTTTTCTACTTCACTTTTTTTCTGTAACATATTGTGTTTCTTGATCAGGAATAACAATGAACAATGGCTTATCATGATGTAGTTTATTCAACTGTATCATACAAATGCATTCAACGAATACCTTTGTTCCTTAAAAATCGTCGATTAGATGTCCTATGTACAATTCTTTGGCATTTAGCTAATAAAAAAAATCAAAGTCTTTGTACCTTGATTTAATATTCTCGTGTCACTGAGCATGCTGATATGTGATTCTCTTATATTTGCGTTACCGACGCATTTCTATGTTTATATTTAAAAAAGAAGGGAAATATATAGCATGTGTAATGCTTTGCATTACTGTTTACAAAAACTGAGAAAGAACGATCTAGATAGAATTTTTTATATCATGAGTTGTTTATTGTAGTTTGCGGTACAAACTACCTGTATCTTTTATTTAACATATAAACTCGTTTTTTAAATTATGGTCTATTAAAAAAAAAATATTCTTTTATGTTATCACAGTGTTGAAAGGTAATGCAGTTAAATACTAATTCTTTTGAGTGTAACCTTGTTTACAAGTCAATGTTATGTATTTAATCATAGACCATACTGTGTATAAAAGTTATTAAAATTCTGTAAGAAAAAAAAATGTGAATAAGCGATAAACAAGCTGTATAAGCTTGGAAATGTGTGCCAGAAAGGGTAGACCCCGACATATGGCAGTAAGGTATTCCGGTAATATGCCATGTTTACATGCACTGTGAACTGTTGTTTCATTAATCTTATTATTATTAATATTATTATTGTATTATTATTATTATTATTAATATTATTATTATAATAAATGATAATTAATGAACTAATCTCTTGTAATTATTTACTTTCATGTACTAAAAGCTATTGATGTTTCAGAATATTAAATGGAGAGCAATATAAAATGCTATAAAATATAAGTAAATATAAAATGTATCAAACCCTTATTATATTTCTTTTAGTAATACAGTACAGTCTCACTATGTTCCTTTTACAAAGATTGCCATGCATACCAATAGTATTTCCCTACCATTACAAATCCTTCATCAAATACAAAGTTTGAAATATGAAGACTTGAGCATTAATGGACAGTCAATTTTTCCGACGGATAATCAATTTTCCTTATTCGTGACCCATTTAGTGGTCACTTAATGTGCTCATTATTAGTTTATATGACTTATTCAAATTTCTTCGTTCTTGCGTCTACCCAAAGTCATATAATAGGCTCCTACTGTATTTAGCAGTACAGGTAGCATTTAATTTATGGTATGTAATTTAAACTTAATTACTTTTACTTCCGAAATTATTAGACGCGATTTAGAAGGGTGCATAAATCAGAGAGGGTATATCCTTTAATATTTATATGTACCATAAAGTTTTAATTACTACCTATATTTTTACATTATCTGAACGTAAATTTTTGTCAAAACAAATTTACCATTTTTTAACAAAAAATATTTTTTTAGCAGTAGTAACGTAATATGATTCAAAATATTTATTTCAACCACGCATGCGTGATGAAACGACAACTACATTCTTCATTGCGATTTGTTTGTCATTTATTCTCTGTCGTATTCGTACAGATATTTTGAAGCGATGTAGTAAACAATATATTGTTTATTATCTAATAGTTGAATATTAATTAAATGTAATAGTTTTCAATCATCGGAAACTGTATAATATAATATTATAATTTGTTAAATATTTTAGGAAAATGTTGACAAATGTAATGAACATAAATTTTTAATTCTTGTTATATAACAAATAATTTATTTCTTTGTGTGCAACATTTTTGAATTTAAACAACGTTTAAATTATAATCAATTATCTATCAACGTGATAACGTGTAAATACATAATTATATACCTTGAAGTATGGAATTGATTTTACTTGGCACCAAGCACTTATTTTTCTAGTCATTTTGAATGATATAGGATTAGAATAATAGTGATAATAATCATCATTTTATTTATTTCCAATGAATGGTAAAACTAAGTAATTTTATATGTACCATAGGAAAACTGTTATTTAGAAAGATATTACTGCATTTTTTACATTAAAAATTTTGCAAATAATGCTTAAATTTAAATGCATCAATCTTTTTGATTTAATATTCTACAGAAATGCTGATGACAAATTCATGACATAGATTAGATTGTAAGAGAATGATTATAGACCCTATATTTAATACATATAGTATAATATTATAAAGAATAAGATACGCTTGCTTTATTTAATCATAACACTTTAAGCATGTTCAAATAGGATTGCAGTATGTATAGTATTTCATCTTAAAGTGCACATGTACAATATTTATAAAGGAGACAGAGCATGAAATTGTCCCAAAGAAGAAGCAGAAAAATGTTATACTGGCTGAATTTGCTCGTAGGCAGATATAATTTAATTTTCACAAAAATGGTTTGAATCCCCTTTACTATTATCAACATTTCTTCATTCTATTATTCACATTTTATTTGCTTTGTTATGCAACTACTATTATTATAGTAAAATTGCAGCACATATTAAGATATTTAAATCGTTACAGGTATATACTAAATTAAGGAAATATGAATTTAAAATACATAGAAGAAAACCAACAAATGAAAAAACATAGCAAACTTTTATATCGATATGGATATTTTCTATCAATGCTGTTGTGTATGATACTTGCCTCTATTAGACCACACTTTGGCAAAACAAATGGTATTTCTACTGTATTTATCATAAGGCATTTATATTGTAAATTTTTATCATATATTTTAGGTATACTTAATGGGAACATTATCATCCGATATTTTGCTGTGCCTTTAACATATCTGGAAGCAGGTTTATTATGTGATCCTAAATCGCTATATTCAACATTAAATAATGGTTCCCTTCTAGTATTTACAATGATTTTTATATATATACTAATGCCCTTTTTAATGAAGATTGGAGTATATTTATTACTTTATGCTGATGTTAATATATGGCTGTTAAAGGGAATGGAGGTAAATAAGTAAAAATAAAGATGCTTGTAGAACAGCCATGATCAGCTTTTTATTCCAGGTACTTTACTGCATGCCACCTCCATTCAATACAAGTTTTGTTCTATGTCGATTAGCAAAAGCAGATTTGTCAACAAGTATTGTAATAACATTAGTTTCTCATTTTGGAGGGTTATTTATATCCCCTATATTATTATATTTTGTGGTAAATAATATATGTATACATTTATTATTTTATAAAAGTCTAAATCTTTTTTATGCACTAATTATATATATATATATATATGATTCTTGTTACAGTTAGGAGCATCTACACCTCCTCTGGTTGGTGTGAACATTAAAGAAACTATTTATAGTACAATTATACCATTACTTATTGGTATTGCAATTCAAATTATTATTTTAAAGTATGATTTTTGTTTCAAAGTTAAGTCTCCATGGTTTTCTCAAGGGCTGTTATTAGCTACAGCATATCACTGGTTTTGTGATGCTGTTTTAGTGGATGCATCATCATTACAAGCTACAGATGTATTATTATGTGTATTAATAGGTAAGTGTAGTAATACTAACTTTACTAACAACAGATAAATGTTTACCAATGATTGTTGTAACAATTGTATAATTTTTTTGCATGTAGTAAAAGTATTATTGATTTGAAATAACTGTAAAGATATAATTTTCATTAACTCAGTGTGGCATTAGTATCTTTTATGTTTAAGCTTGCGTGGGACAACTCTTTGTTAGCTGCTTATGTTGGATTTTGTGCTCTCAATGGTTGCCTCGGGATATTGTACTAGCTACACTTTTTACAAGTACTCACAAATCAGTTGGTCTTGGCAGTTGGATTTTACGTGGTGCTTATCATGGTTCAGCCCATAGTTCAGCAGTGAACTTACCATTGTGTGTACTACCGGTTGCACAATTATTGTTGGGTAGTTTATTAGCTAGCTGGTTATCTCCGTAATGTAAAAAGTCTTATGTGACAAACTTAAATGATGTTGTATACATTTTATTTTTTGTTTAAAATTGCATGCATATAGCATTTATTTTTTTAATGTAATTTATTTTTAATTCTCTTATGGGATTTTTAATACATGTCTCAATTCATTGCTCTCTTAAAATATAGTACAAAAAGTACATGTTATTTTTACAGTAATTTTGATTCTGAAATACTGTACAATATTTTGCTTAACATTATCGAAGTATGGAACCAAGAAACAAGTGATTGTTTTACATACTACGTTTGCTACATTGAAAACACACTTCATAGGAATGGAGTAAAAACTTTATTTTCTTCTTGACTGAATAAATAAATTTTTTTTCGTTCTTGTTGATTCAATTGATATCGAATTTTTATAAAAAAAAAACTAGTTCTTATAAAACAGTTGCCTTAGTAACTAGTGTACGAATTTTAAACAAGAGGAATTTCTTAAGTAGATAACGTTTTTTAGAATGTAACATTTAAAAGCAAATTATCACCTACATTGTTTAACATTTAAAAATAAAATACTTAATGAAACATCGGGTAGGATTTTACTTAGAATTATTTTCAAAATGTATCAAATAAGTTTATTTCTATGTATATCGAAATGCCGAAGGCATTAAAAACATAGTCTGTGATTTTCTTTTTCTCTAAGTTCACACAGAGTGTACACGAAATTCATTTATTGCAGAATTCAATACTTACCTTGAAAACTAATCTTAAGAATTTGTATGTAACAATTACATCAATTAATTTTTTTTTTCAGTGTATATTAAAAAACACTAGTGTAAAATTATGCACGAATAAAGTTCTCAATTCTAATCAACTTAATTTCATTAACATTTGACAAAAGGAAATCGTGACAATGATACATTACACTGTACATCATTACAGAGATAATTTTAAATAGTACATATTAAGTGAAAGTAAAAAAAAAAAAAGAAAAAGGAGAAACCAATTACACTACTCGAAGCGTTGTACGCTATATGTTTACGTGATAATTATATAATAAATTGTATTTGTATCTTACAAGTTATAAATATAGTTTCCTCACTTTCGATTGTAAAATTTTTGAAATTATAAGTATCTACTTATTCTAGAAGTCTGGCTACAATTATCATAGTTATATCTTAAAAGAAATAACAGTAGACAATTCACAGTACTACACACGAAAGAAAAGGACTGAATTCAGAATAAGATGTTTCCCATACAAAACATAGCGATTTTATTCTACAAATAATGGGATAAATTTGGTTAGTTTTTTTCTTGTTGTAAACTTGCATATCAGTTTTCTATTTTGCAACGCGCAACTCGGTACGGTATGTTTTTTTATAATACCGATATAATGCGCACGCGTATATATTTAATAATATTAACAAATAGTGTAACACTCATGATAACGTGTATGAGCTCATAACCTGATTTTTTCGTGAAAATCATGGCATTTGATGCATCAAACGACAGTGCAGTAATGGCGCAAGTGGTGGGCACGTATTGTTTTGCCCAGGTCATTACACAGTCATTATAGCTGGTACCAAATTTTTGTCACGAATGTCGCTGACCCTGCTATCGCCGCCAACTTCGAGATTCGCCATCTTCATCCTCTTCCTCTTCGTTTTCTTCAAGAAGCAGTGCTTCGGCGTTACCCTGTTAAAGTTTATAAATCAACATTTTAATGAAATGAAATAGTATAAAAATAAATTAAGATAAATGTAATAACACCTATCAATAATTAATGAAACAGACTAATACCAGTTCCTAGTACGTAACAGTCTAGGTCAGAAATTCTTAAAGTGTGATCCATGTTGGAACTTTGAGGCTTTTGGAATTTTCTGACTTTGGAACTATGGAATTTTGAGACTTAGAAAGGTGTAGATTCTAGAAATCTAAGGATCTGGGAATATAGGAATTTAGAAATATACGTCTCGACGTATCACACACATGTTATGCTTTTTACAGTATTGATGAAGAACTCACTTCCAAATCAACATCTTCATCTGTGGTAGGTGGTGCTTGTTCAGAACGGGAGGTAAGTTGTACAGACGTATTTGTATTACTACCGCTCCCGCCACGATGTAAATGATGCCCGGACACCCATGTTATGGATAATAATCTATCTTGAAATGTGCGTCCTTTTGCTAAAGCTACCTCGGCTTCTTTCCTTGATTTATAATTGATTACAATCGAAGGCGTTGCGTCATCTACTATTTGACTCACTATTTCTCCAAATTGCTGTAACGCAACGAAAGTCCAAATGAATTACAAAAATTAATACTTGAAAACAATTATGACGAAGAATAATTAAATTCTTACTTGAAAATGCGCTAAAACTTCAGCCTTTTCTTCGGTTTCGTAACCAGAGACTAGAAGACTCGTCGGTCTATGATCTACCGAAACATGAGTAAAACTACCTCTACCACGGCCCCTGTACGATAATGCGTGAGTACCACGTATAACTCTACTGGATCTTGTACCTCTACCGACAGCTGGGCCCGTATTTAAACCCAATGCAGCAGCCTGAGCTCGCAGCTCGTTTAATCTCTTTTGTAATTCCCCAGCGTCTTGTCCCTCCTGTTGTGCAGTCATTAAATCTAACTCGGCGTCTAAAATCTCTTTTTGCGTTTGTTCTCTGGATTTAACCTGCGTCTTATTTCCACCGATTTGTCCGTTTGCAGCTAAATCTTTGCGCAAATTGTCAATAGATTGCTGCATTGTTTTTATCGTTGCCATAATTGCATCTTTTTGTTCTGGATTCTTTTCAGCTTTGTCGATCAAAGCTCGTATCTCTATCAAATGCTTATCTAGTAATTCTTGTTTTCTCTTACGCAAATCGGCCGTTAATTTTAACGCCTCTTTACGTTTCTCTTCTTGCTTTTTCTTTAACGTTTCCTTAGCAGCTAATATTTCTTGTGTCTTTTTTATTGCGAGAACTTTTTCTTCTCGTGTAGGAACAGTGGTAGTTTTTGGTGATGTGGGAACTATAGTCTGCGTAACTTGTTCTTCGGTCGAACGACGAGTGGGAATATATTCATTTTCTTCGGTTTTCGCTGGCACGTTCACAGCAGCACCTAATCTTTCCTTCACAGATGGACGGCAACCTGGACAAGTAAAATAGTGTTACATTGAATATTAAATATTTTCATTCAAATGCTTATAAAATGTTTCAAGTAACTAGGAAATGTGCAGGTATACGATAATTAGGACTTGGGTAGTGTCGGGTGCACTCGGGCAGGTTCGGAAGGATATACGATTACCCACACATCTTTAGATAACGATCGGAAAAGCCTATAATTAACAATTCAGAATATCAGCTTACCTGGTGGCACATTTTCAATAGCGCCGCCGGCTGCATTGTTGTTAACATTGTTGTGCCAAAACACTTTGATAAATCTGTTATTCAACACAGCCTCTGTACTTCTGTATGCAGCCTTTGCTTCAGCTGGTAGCTGGAAGGTAACCAACGCTCCCTCAGGATCTCCGCCGAAATTAACTTGGATATTTACAATTTTACCAAATTTTGAAAAATGATTATTCAATTGGGTTATATTGTTCAGGCTACGTGGGACTTTTTTTAATTCCAGAGAACAATTAGCTGGATTATGTACCACTCGTTGTTTTGGTCCAAGACGATTGAAATCAAATGCTTGTTTACGTTTTAATGGATTCGTTTGGGTATGCGTTATTTCAGAAGAATTTGTATGCGGAATTACTGGTACGCTGATCAGTTCCCTCTGACCTCTACCATAAATACCAGGTCCTGGTTGGGGATGCCTTCCCCATGGCATTCGTGGTTCCATGCTTGGTGCATCAGGATTATATTCAGCAAATGCATCTATCAACATTTATTTTACGTTACAAACTTTTAATAATATTCTAAACAAAAAAAGTAAACATAAACACAACCTTTAACCTATCATAAATCAAAATTGAAACACTCCGTGTAAAATATGTATTCATAATATTCCATGATTTTTTCGTTTGCAAAAGTAAACATTAAGCTTCGTATTTAAACAACCTTACCCATGTTAGAATGATGTTGATTCCTTAAATGGGGAGGAGGTAAACTTGCAAGAGGAAGGTGTTGCGGTGGTGCATTTCCATTAGGTCCAGGAGGTGGTTCTGGTACGGCTGTTACAGGTACTGTTCCTGGTGCTTGAGCACTATGGGGACCAAAAGTCAAGACCCGGCTTAAAGCCACATCTTCTAATACAACCGGATCTGTACCATGATCATAAGGACAAAGATCTCCCCTCATGCAATATCCTTTCTCTGCAAGAGCATAGTTTCAAGTTTATAATATTGTACATCGTATTGATCGATTTTTAACAATCCAAACGGTACAAACCATCAAAATCTCTGCACCTCCTTTTCGTTTGAAATCCTGGTTGGCTATTCGGAACGCTAGAAGCAACAGCAACAACACTTTGAATTGATTGACTAGTAGTAGACAGCCTCATGTCTACGTCTCCATGATTACTATCTTGCGTTGGTGTGCCACCACCAGGACTTCCTTCAATTCTATCTGTTCGATCTACTTCCATTCTTTCAGACCGGTCTATCTTCTTGCGATCTAATGATCGCGATCGAGATCTAGATCGAAGAGGTGTTGGAGATCTGTTCCTAAATCGTGCTCTATGATCGCGGTTATCAGGACCATCTCGTATCCTTGGTCGTATTGGTGATGTACTACGACTCCTGCTTCGTCTATTGAAAATAGAATTAACGTTACAAAAGAAAAACGAAGTTAGAATATTTCATCTTTTAATATAAACAGTGTATGGACCTCCTATCATGCCGTCGTGTATTTGGTGGTGATTCATTTCTCCATGGTCGACTCCTATCACGTTCTCGATCACGTCGGATATGTTCCCTGCTTCTAGATCTACGTCTGTCCCTTTCCCATGAACGTGAACGTGACCTTGTTCTGGACCTCATTCGGCCGCTTCTATAAACATACGTAATAAATATTTTAAAACACCACGAAGTCTCGCTATATGGCCCTAAACGTTAATAAAAATAGAACTTACCGACTTCGGGAACGTTTTTCTTTTTCTTTGTCAACTTTTTCAGAGTCTGATTTCCTAGTTTCACGTTTACCTATTGTCATAGGTGCAGATCCATTCATTTGGAGGGGAGCAGGAGGATTCGTATTCACAGAAGTAATTGGAATTGTACTTTCAGTTACTTTTTCTGTGGCCATTGCAGGTGGTGGTGGATTTACACCTGGAGGTGTCCCACCACCATCTGGATCACTCTTTGCTGGTGGTAGTACATATTCTTGAGTTTCCAATGTTTTAAACAGTAACTCCACAAAGTTTTTGGTTTCTGCAAAAAAAAGAATATTAACATTGCAACGAAAATAGTTAGTTAGTCATTTTTATAAATATTATTTTAATATAATCATACCTTGTTGTAAAAATACATCAAGTTGTTCAACCATTCCACCACGCAACTCTTCCAAAGTTTTGTCCTTCTTGACAAGAGCATATACATATTTTGCTAATGCAGCAGGATCTGCATCACAACTAAAAAATTAAACACATAATAATTATATCTTCTATTATAACATAATGTTCTAAATAACTTTACAAATAGATATTTATAATTATTAAGGCATAGTATTGATATGACTGATACCATCATAAATTTAAGTGATGTTTGGTATCATAATGGTATATTTCTTTAAACCCTCAATAATTATGGTTACGAACAAATTTTAGAATTATGTGACATAATTTCAATAGAGATCACAAAATGCAAGAAGAATGATAATATTAATCCAATAAATCATATATGAAGTTAGTTACAAGTTTTTAACTGGTCTATTATAAATCAATGAAAACATTTTCAATGATTATCTAAATATATTCAACATTTTTATGAAATTGTGATTTATTTAAGTATTTTTTCCTTTTGAACTTCTATTAATCTTTACGATACCCTAATCTTTATGTTAATGTTTTTACAATAATTCATTTACAAAGATAAAATTATGTTTCGGTTATTCATTACTGTCAACAGTCTCTTTAAGAAATAAATAATTCTTATAGATTGTTTATATACCAAAAAGTATTTTTACGATGTAGTATCTCATGGAAATAGATATGAACTTTAGATTGTGGCACAAAATGCCAAAGAGTTAAATACTCTCTGTATAATCATCTGAAAAATGTTTGCTATGAAACACAGATGAAGCAGATCATTAAAGGACCTATTATTATTGAGCTAGTTGTTGTTCAATGCATGATAAGGGTGATGGAAGCAGTTGGACTAAAATGACCTATCACGAATCATTCAGAAACAGTCAGGTAATACATGTAAATAAAATTCTGCATGGGGTGTAAAGCACAGCACATGTACGGCCATTTACAATATCAAATGCATACACATACAGCTAAAACTGTACTCGGACAAGCTGGCCTACTTACAGCGGCTCCAAGACGGCTGTGAGCCACGCCTTGAATTGATCTGGATTCTCTATTATCATTTTCAGTGAATATGCGACGAAAAACACATGGAACTCTTCAAAGACACGCGTTAATTACACAATTTCTGGGCGGGAATAAGTACTCTCCTAAGTAAAGACAGTCGCCATTCTGAAATCTCGCTCCTATACATGCAGTATTCACATAGATGAGATTTCGTTTCTAGAAAATGTCACAGGAGTCGCTGGCTGTAGCCGTGTGTCAGATAAGCTAGGTCCCTTCGCTACTTTATCATCATAAACTGAATTGAACGTAGCTACGATTTAATATTTTAGGTTAGTTTAGGTTAAGGTAGGTTTATTTTTCCTCTTATATTTTATCCTCGAAAGATGTTTTAGGGAAAAGAAAATCTTGTATTATTCAATGATTATAATCATATTCAAAATTTGTGTTAATTTTTTGGACATTTTTTATTTTGTCAATTTATTTGTTTTTTAGTTTTCTTTTCTCTTTGTAATGTTTTACAGCATTGGCATTATAATGAAAAAATAATAGTGTGTTTAAAAACACCGGAAATTATCGACATTTGTTCCCCGAAAAGTTACTCGTTCAGTGGTGTGAATGAGAGATCATAGCTCGCGCATTGCGGCTAATTTCAGTATTATACGCCTTTCACTTTGTACATTATATACAGGGTGTACAAAAATATATAAGTAGGGAAAAGAGACGATGATCTAAATCTAGAGTACACAAAGTAAAAGATCACTGGGTATATATATTTGGCATCGCGAAAATCGCAACCGAGCATGCGCATTATTCTTGAAACCAATAGTATTTGAACCAATCATATCCTGTATGCGCAGAATGAACAAAAAACTCATCGCGTGAGGAGTATGATCTTTCATGGAACTAGTAGTAATGGGATTTTTTTAATAAATAAGTAACATACTATGTTCTTAATGAAAGATTTGATGGAAAATATTAAAAGTAATATTTTATAATGTTATACAATAGAAATGTCACAACTATTTGAAGATCTGAAGCTTGCAGAAATTTGTGAGGCTATGTATCATTCTTTATATTTGAATCTTTGAGGTAAAAGTTCCCGCCATTTGTTCACATGATACAATTTAAATAAGTATTCTCAGTTTTGAACAGGTAGCAAACTTTTAATAACATTTATACATAAATGCAATTCAAAATATTTTTATTTAAATAGATATATATAAAACATTTTATCAATATTTTATTAAATGAGTATATCGTTCGTGTAATTCTTGCTTACATCGTAAGTTTATATTTATATATAATATATTTTGATTAACGTTATAATTTTAATTTAATTTATGGATAAGTCGTCTTATGTACACAACTCCATTTCTTCCTGCACGGGAATTTGCTTATTTTTGTTGTAATAATGAGTTATTATCCCAGCACCCAAGGCATCAGCTACGATGTTTAGGGTCGTTCTAAATCGATCTCTAAAAATATGACATTTGATTATTATGAATGAACATTTGCGATTATGTAGATATGAATGGTAAATGCTTACACAAACCAATCGATGGCGATAATTAACGAGACATCTTCTACAGGGACTCCCACAGAATTTAATACCATTATTAACATTACATAACCACCACTAGGTAAGCCAGCAGCACCAATGCATGATATAGTGCAAGTTATGCTACAAATGTTTCCAATACATTTTACTATTATTATCCAATATTATAATTGTAACAAAAAAGGATCATAATACAGACCTGATTATTATGATTTTGAATAATGAAAATTGCAATCCATGCAATTGAATAATAAAAATTGCACCTATACTTTCGTATAATGCAATACCATCCATATTTATGGTGGCACCAATTGGTATAATAAATCTACATATTTTGGAAGGCATTCCAATGCGTTCTAAGCATGATATTGTTACAGGGACTGTAGCTGTACTGAAGAATTTAGCTTTTATTGTAAATATCATTGATTACATAAATTTGAGATATCGTGTATTAAATATATTTCAATTAATTACCTAGATGATGTACCAAATGCTGTAACGAAAGCTGGTCCAAGCTTAGTTATAATTTTGTATGGAGATTGTCGAGTGCATATGAAATATATTAGAGGAAGTACTATTAATCCTTGTATAAGTAACCCACTGAAGACAGTTAGGATATAAATTCCAAGCCTTCGCATCACACTATTAAAATCTTCTACTTCTAGAATCTTTGCAGAAATAAGAAATAATGCACTTATTGGTACCAGCCTATATAACATCAATTTTTATATTATAACTATTCATTATCATTGCTTCATTATGTGGTAAGTGATATTACAATATTGTCCAGCTCATGATCTTCATCATTGCTTCTGATAAAGATCGAAAGAAATTTATTAAAGGTTCACCCACTGACTCTATCTCTCCAATTGCTAGGCCCAAAACTAAACTGAAGAATACCAGTCCCAAGACATTTGTTCCCATTATATTTGTATGATCAATTTTCCAATCATATATTGGAGCTACAAAACCATGTTTTATTAAAATTTTGCATGCTTGACATTATTTTATATTGTCATTTTAACATACCTGATTCATTTTTTGGTTTTATTAGTACAGTTTGATACTACAACAATGTTTCATATATTTTTATATTATTTGAATATATACTTTTAACAAAAATTAGGGAAGTAAAATGACATTACCTGTGATAAGCATGCACTCATTATATTATCTGGTACCAAATTTCTATAAAATTAAGAAAAGTAAAAATAAATATATTTAAAGGAGTATTAAAATTTTACCATTATATGTATTATAAATAAGATACCGAAATAAATCTAAAATTGTATCCACTGTCATGGAAGACTTGGTTGAATTTTGTGATATAATATTTTTGTTTTTAAGTAATTCACCAGGTTTTATTGTTTGAACAAGTATGACACTTAGTATTATTCCAAGTGATGTTGTTGTCATATAATAATACAGAGCCATTGATCCAATCTGTCCTACATATTAGAAAATTGGTCAGTCTAAGAGGCAGCTATTATATTATAATAAAAGTAACATTAACTTTTTTAAGTTTACCTGATTTTTTCAAGTTACAAGTAGAACTCACGATGCTAGTCATTACAAGAGGTAATATTAAGCAATTTACCATTCTCATGAATAGTTCCCCAGGAAATTTTAGGTACATTATATTTCTTTTGGTCCATGGTTGAGGAGTTGAGATTTTAAGAAAAAAACCTATTGTGATTCCAGCACACACACCAGCAACAGTTGTTAATATTAATTTTTGTCGCAGTATTCTCTTTAATAGATTCATTTTGTTAAAAAATTATATGAATGAATAATCTACTACAATCTGAGAGTACAGTATGTTATCACAAACTTCTATCAAGATGTTTGAATTATATTTTTAGTGTAAACTTTTAGAATATTTTATACATACAGATACCCAGAGTGATTTTTCAAGACAAATTTTTTTGTTGCACACTTTTCTAAAAAATCTGACTTAATGAAATCTGCCGTCTTATCTAAAATGTTAGGCAGGAACATTAAAAATAGTGGATATTACCTTGGGAAAGATATCTTATGACAGTGGATGTATTTATGACTCTTTTATAATCATGATGGAAGTTATAAGGGAGTTCTACTGTTATCTGCTACAGCAAACTTTTTCTTCTAACTAGAACCGTTTTGATTGGATATCATCATTAAATTACGTCGGTGAAAAACGAGTCACGCTAAATAAATAAATCGGTAGTATTGATATTTTGCTTTTTATTTATTTTGCATCTATTACAATATAATAAATATGATCGTGCACAATACATGAAGGATGTGTATTTACACACGTTTTTAATCTTCAGGCCATAATTTTACGTATTTGTAACTGAGTTTCACATTGTATCGCTATAACTTTTTTTTTCTTAATTATTTAATATAATTTATACATATCTTTACAATTCTGTATCATTCTTTGAGTTAATCAATTAAAACATCACATTATGCATTTTATCTGCATCCAGTCTTCTGAAGGAAAAATCTCATAACACATTGTTCTTTCATTAAACTTAATGACTATCAATCCTTAAGGTTTCAATAATTAGTTCATCGCCGTTTATATGAAGTATTAGTGAGATCAATAAAGAATTTTTTATTAACGTTACATTTATACAAAGTCATGTTTTGTAATTGTTTACATGTCTAGATCTACATACTTCTCTATGATGTTTAATATTTGGTTTTCTTGTTTGTATAGTACGCATTTCTTTATTTCTCATATTCGTCGCGATTTTTATAAATCTTTTTCGTTCATTTTTTAATGTGAGGTAATTTGATTTTGCTCAAATAAAAAGAGAAAAATTTATTTATTGACTTCCGCTTTTTGGTAATTACGATTCGCCAACCGCAATAACGGATTCCAGTGTCCTGCTGAGATGGTGCTTCTGACAATACAACCTATGTCAAAGAAATTATAATCCTGATTAGTCCATTATTCTATTCGTAACTTATTACAATTAATTATTAAGTAAATGATAAATGAACTCGACATGACACAAACACACTTAAGTGGAGATTAGTGAGACCAGTTATTCTGAAAAGATTAGAATATTAAAATTTTTGTTTAAACTCACGTTTGCTAATTCCTAGTCTTATTGCAAAATCTAATGTTATACATAGTTATCTTTGATCATGCAAAATCGATAAGTTATGCTTTAGTAAAAAAGGAATACAAAGATCTACTGATACCACTTCCAAAACTGAACGCTGTAATTACAACGTGTAAGGATCAGCTACTTCTATTTTGTTTTTTAGAAAATTCAATAATCATTTAATATCTCAAAATATTTAAGAACTCGTCATTCAATAATCTTCAAAATTAAAATTGAAAATTGGATCAAACGAAATTTGAGGGATGGAAATATTTAAATTCTAATACTAAGTGTATGATTCAATAGAAAATATTGTATAATATTCATAAAGCATAATGGAAAATCGTGTGGTGCATTGTAAAATAAAATATATATAACACATTGCTCTGATCATTTATACAATCTTATATGAATTGAAAGTTTTGTTAGGTCTTTTATTTGTTCTTTACAATTGTTTAAATTACATTGGTTTTTAGCATTAGATACTTTTCTTTGTGGCCCTCAAAAGTGAAACTGTATTAATACCTGTCCCTACAAAGGTGTTTCCTTTCGTGCCTCTGCTTTCCACTGAAATCCATTTACTCGCGTTGTAATTGGTTTATTTCTATTAGTTGCATTCTCAATTCCATTTCTAACACCTGCTACTAATCTCATGGCTGGGTTGGAAACCAGTCCATTGCGCTTTGGTTTAGCATTGCTCGCACTGCAATCAAAGATCATTTTATAATTCAACTAAAACATTATTCTCTTTATTTACAATGAAGTAATCTCTTTGCAATATGACTTTAGAAACATCTGTTCACATTTTGTACCCTTTGACAACTTTAGTATTCTTCCAATATTTTACTATTCTACATCACTGCTATTAAATTGTGAATCCTATATTTTAAGCACATTGCAAAGAATTATTTCTATGAATATATTGTTAAGAGACAATAAATATTTAAGTAATGATAGAAACCATACCTGGCAGGCATATGTTCAGAGGTATGTTTCACGCTTCTGCCAACACCAGCTCCACTGTTCCCTAGTATTATCCTCATGTGGGTGTCCCTAGTGAAGTGGGTATCAGCCGAGTTTCTCTTCTCGTCGAGGCCATTTTTCTTGTCCTTCGTCACGCTCAAACCTAACATCTCGTTCGTGAGTTCGAAGGGTTTACCGATGTCGTTCTTGTCGATGATCTCGGTCTTTATGTTGATGGGTTCGTAAATCGCCGATGTGTGATTGTATCCACCGATCTGCGCTTTGTACGGTAAATTCTGATTGTTCGCTGTCAACAAAGAGACCCCTAGCTGGCTCTGTATCACGTTCGCGGCCGTCTGAGCACTCGGTGGACTGGTGTTCGTTGGCGAGTACGGTATAAGGCTGTCGCTCAACGGTGAATGAGGCGGCGAAGCATAGATTGGACTTTGGGGTTCGCTTTTCAACGGTGACAACAGTTTGCTCAACGGACGACTCTTCGCACCCCTCGAGCATTGTTGTAGTTGTTGCGTGAAAGATAATGGTGTCTAAAATTATAGGAGTCAGATAATGCCTTGGTTTTCGTGCGGCGAGTTAAGTCTGAAGCTTGTGTATAGATCGCCTTGATATTTACGCTCGGTAAGATAAGTCTTGAATGTGTTAGGGTTGTACTCGAGAGAAATAAATTCGATGAAAAGTGATTGCAAAAAACGATCTGTACACGAGTGCGTGAGAACGGAACGAACAAAAGCATGCGGCAGAGTTAATGAAACGTAATGGATGATCCCATTGGAAGTGGTATCGGAGGTCGAAGATTCTCCAAGTACAGCGTTAATGGAAAAAAGCATTAAGAAACGTCAGTGTTACCTACTTTGATTACCTGATTCACCATCGAGTTCTGGTTGAATTTCCCTTGATCGCTCTTCGTGCTACCGGTTAGATTGCTGCTGGATTTGCTGTTGCTGGAATTATTGCCCAGGGAGACGCAGCTTCGCCTCTTCGTTGAATCTGGCGATTCAGCTGGACTGTATTGGGTTGACAGCGGATTCAGAATCGCGGATGACGGTTTCGTTTCTGCTGTTGAGTTTGACGTTACCGAGGTAGCACTGCTACTTCCACCTGCGACAGTAATACATGTTAAAGTAATTATAAGAGTTAACGCTGCAGTAAGAATTATATTCTACAGTTTATATCTTAGACATTGTCATGTTTGTATCACTTCCTAGACTCTTCTTAATGTATCTATGCAATACTGTGGACAGTGTAGTAAGTGTGGAGATACTTGGTCACTAAGTTACATGTATAAAATGAACAAACCTCCGTTAATTCCAGGTCTTAGACTTCGTTGATTAGCCGAATGTTCCTCGAGTAGCCTAACCACAGTGTCATGGCCACTTTTGGCGGCCACTTTGATAGCATTGCGACCGCAGTGATCAGAGTGACTCGGATCCGCGCCATGATTCAGGAGAGCTCGTACGCAGTGTTCATGACCTTCTTGTGCAGCAATACCTGATTTATATTTATCCACATAAACATTGTTGCATGCTAATATGACTAGATAACAATCTCGAAAAGATAATTCTTGAAGAGGTTAATTATTAGATGACTGTTTTACCTAAAGCAGTTGCGCCTTGATTACAGGTATGATCAGGAGTAGCTCCATGTTCCAGCAGCAATCTGACGATAGCAGCATGACCTTGCCAGGCTGCTGAATGAAGAGGAGTTCTATTCTCATTGTCGCAGGCGTTCACACTGGCACTACCTTCGGTTAGCAGTAAAGCTACCATCTCCACATGCCCTTGCCAGGCACTTACGTGCAGAGGAGTTCTGCCCTAAAAGATCACGCGACATTTGTACACTCTTAAACTTGTAATTTGACAATTAGACTACTTATTTAGGTCCAGAGAGGTTATATTATTTTTACTTACTTCTGAATCTCTACTTTCCACATCGGCACGCGCATGTTCCAGCAAAAATCGTGCCATCGCCAGCCTGTTCTCCAAAGCAAGGATATAAAGAGTGCTCCTGCCATCAGCGTCCTTCGCATTCACGTCTGCATTGTGAGCCAGCAATACTCTAACAGTATCATAATGCCCCTCCAACGCTGCTACCCTACAACCATTTCGTTTCTTCATAAGTCATTTTGCAAATTGAAACAACGTCGCGATGTTTTATTCAAAGATGAACGGCGATATCGTTGAATCACCTGAGAGCAGTTTTCCCATCGTGAGCGTGTTGATCGATGGGAGCACCGTGTTGTTCTAGTAATCTTTCAACCAATGTAGCGTGACCCTCTTGTGCCGCCAGCATCAAAGCACCCTTTCCATCGTTATCAGTTTCGTCGATCTTAGCTCCAGCTTCTAGTAGAGCCTCGCAAACGTCGATGTGGCCTTCAAACGCGGCGTAGTGTAAGGGTGTCCAGCCGGAGTTGTCTCTGTGCTGTTCGTCCAAACCTGGAATATAAGTGTGCACTCGTTCATCTATGACCTTAGTGGGTGTCTGACATTATTAGTAAACCCAGAGGATCTTGTGCATCCTAGACAAAAATTCTGAAACAATTTTATACCTCTGTCTAATAGCTGTTTCACAACGTCAGTGCCACCCTGTGCAGCGGCCACGCTCAAAACGGTTCTGCCCTCGTTATCGATGCTATCAACATAACATCCCCAGAACAACAGAAGAGCGACCACTGATCCGTGGCCCATACTGGCAGCTGCCCACAAAGGAGTGCGTCCAGTGGCATCACAATGGTCCACGTCTGCCTCGTATTCCAACAGCAATTCGCACACATCTCTGTGGCCTTCAAATGCAGCCACTAGCAACGGGGTCATGCCATCTTTATCTTGGTGATCAACTGCGGCACCTCTTTCTAAGAGTATTGTAACAACCTGCGAGAAAACAACAAATAATTAATTACAAATACATTTGATAATATACGTTTTAGGCTAAAGCTAATAATCTAGAGGCTTTCATGGCAAGGTTTACATTTAATACTGATGCTATGTATTCTTCAAACTTTGTGCTTGTGCTAGTGAAATATTGGGAATCTCATTCTTCAGGATATTTTTGCATTCAAAGCCTTACACAGTGTTAAGTGTGATCTGAGATTCCTCAGCAGTTTGCTAATTTAATTTATCTACATTCAGATTTAAGGTTCTTCTGCTTACTATAACTCTGGATGAATCATACAGAAAACTAGACGACAGAGTAGGAGAAAAGTAGGTGTAAAGATAACGAATGAAGAGGCAGAGAAGAGTTGAAGTACAGACACGTGTAAAGCTAGAAGCAGAATGAACTTTTGCATAATGATGCAACCACATTTGACGATTAGCATATTAGGTTAGAAGTGATGGTCCTGAGGCTTTCATGACATGGTTCACACTTAACACTCAAAGCTGATACAGTGTGCTTCAATCTCTGAATTAGCTACAATACTCTGACAATGTGGACCTCATTCTTCAGCACATGATTCGCATCCAAAAACATTATTAACCCTGATCTGAGCTTCCAATTTGTTAACGTAATTTATCTGAACTCAGTCTCGGTATTTGTTAAATGTTTTACTTTTCAGGTTTTGCAGTTCTGGATGAATCACGGAGAAGAGTCATCAAAGTACAGATAAGTGGGCAACGAATGAACAGGCAGAGGATATAAATGGACACGAGTAAAGCCAGAAGCAGAACTAACTTTTGCATAACCATGATTGGAAGGGACACATAGAGCAGCTACACTGAGAGCAGTCCTTCCGTCGCTATCAGCATGATCGATCTCAGCGCCGAAGTCTAGAAGGTGTTCGACAATCTCGCTGTGACCCATGTAGGCAGCAGCAATTAAGGCGGTTCTGCCCTCGTCATCCGTTCTGTTGACGTCGGCGCCGTGCTGCAGAAGTGCTTTAACGATGTCCTCATGGCCACCCCACGCAGCTGCTCTGAGAGCGGTTCGTTGATCCCAGTCAGCGCAATCCACCATTGCTCCGTGCTCCAACAGCATTTCGACCACCTACGCGATTTTATTTTCGTATTTTATATTACCTCTTGCAATTTCTGGAAACCTATTCGTCCTGACGCCCCGCACGCCAGACATACATTTAATTACATACAGTTTAGTGCAACTTAACAGATATAATTAACCCTTCCTCGAATCTTCCTCAGTGGTGTCTCAAATTTTTTAATAAGAATGCGTTAATGTAAATGTAATTAATGTATTGTATATTTATGTTCAAAACTTTATGTAGGCAATTTTTCATTACCGCATCAAGTTGTCAAATGTTCCTGAGCAAATTTTCACTCCAATTTGTTGGATTTGCTTCAGCTTGCAATTTAGATAAATAATGAAATTAGGAAGTCATCTAAATTTTAACATCCGACAGAGGGTTATTTACATCTTAACAGTTGAGTTTAGTATGATAAGCTTCAGAAACAAATGTACAGGTTAAGGTTTATGTAAAATACATAGAAATTAGTGTGACAGTACAGTGCATAGATGTTGCGTTCAAAGGGTCAAATAGATATTACAGTGAAATTACAGTGCTGGATCGAATGTTGGTTTATTATAAAATGGTCACCTGAGTGTGTCCACCCCAAGCAGCAGCTCTAAGGGCAGTCCACCCATCGCAGTCAGCATGATCTGCACAAGCTCCAGCAGCCAAAAGTACTCTGACTACGTCTGCGTAACCGTGTCTGGCAGCAAGGTTCAAGGGTGTTTGACCATGACGATCGGTGGCTTCCAATTTTGCCTGGAATTGAAAAATTATGCGGTTTAAAAATATATTGCAAACATATACATTGTTCTAATTAATTAACTTCTTTAATTTTTTTATTTATTTAATTAATTAATGTTATATAAATTGTACACTTTATATGGATAAAACAATCAAGTATTGTTATGTGTACAATAAAAATGGTGCAATACACTAATAAACAAAATTATAAGTTCACCTCATAACTGAGTGTTATGGGCAATGCAATTATTCGGATAATTGGTCAATCAAGTGCTAGAGAAGCACGTGTTAAGATGCTTTTAAGAATTGTCAATGTTTACCTGGGGACACGTTGCCAGAGCGAGTTCCAATAGAGATGCATTACCGTCTGCAGCAAGCGTGTGCAGCACTGTTCGTCCGCAAGAATCAGCTTGATTGATGTCTCCACTTTCACCGAGTAGTTCCGTTAATGGCTCGCTTGGAGACTCATCCATAGGGCTCACATCTTGCGAGACCTTTTATAAAAAAGCCACATAATCGTTATACAAATTTCACTGATAATCTTATCTCGACTGTTATCAATCAAGGATCATGCGCCATTTGAAAGAGATACACGAGGAGCATAGGAGTTAGAACTACGCTGATAAGGTCAATGACAATATAAACTTATGGGGGTTGATCATCAAATTTCTAGTCAACGGAGGTACCTGACTAGAAGAAACAGCATCCTTGCTGGCGTCATCTTCGACGACCTTCTCGGATGGCTTGGCACCTGCGTCGATCAGTAGTTTGAGGAGCTTCACTTCCTGCCTAGGCCAGAGGATGCATTCGGAGCTGTCCAGATAGCAATCCTCGATCGGTGCCCCGCTGCCTATCATCCAGAGCACCTGTAGCGTGTGCACGTCCAAATTGCAGTTGGTTGTCGCCACGCTGGTTATGGCTCGTTGTAGATGCTGACCCAACACGCAAATCTCGTCGGGATTCAAATCTGGACCACGAAGAGTGTAATAGGCGGCCAACATGGCGTGTCCTTCGATGGCCGAACACAGATACTTCTGGGTGCAGTGTTTCACGTCGAGCAGCCACTCGGCGAAGCTATGGTGGAACAGCATCAGGGCTCCGGCACGCGAAACGGAGATGACTCTTCGTAGAAGGTGCAAGCGCCTATTGAAGTCCTCGATGGTGATGCTGACGCAGGCGGTTTTCACGCACTTGTACAGGATCTCCTGGGTGATCGGCAGTTTCGCGGCTAGGATCACGTTCAACAGCGGTTGTACTTTGGCAAATTGCTTTCTGCTGAAGAGTCTTTGACACAGCCATAGGTAGAGGCCGTTCAGGGTGCCTGGTATCTCACGGACCTCACGCAGCACGATGAAGTTCTCGGCCACGCCGTCGAGAACCTTCTCCAGGTACAGGAAACAACCGTTGCTTTTGATGTGCAGCTGGTTTAGCATCTCGGCTGTGTCGCGCGAGATGTGCTGCCTAAAATCGACAGAGGACTTTAGACTAATGCAGGAATACTTTAGAGGAATTTAGACTAATAAACTAACACAGCAATTAGTAACAGAGTAATCAAAACGCTCCTACGATTACAGTCTGCATCTTTCAAATTCTTTACAACGACTCTGTTCAAATGAACACCTACCTCAGAGCGTCTTCTTGATCCAACCGTGCCAGAATGTACTGTTGAACGTCTCTGACGACCTGCGACTTCCTCAGATCGTCCAAGGAGATCTTGCGGAAGCCGGTGAACATCCTCGAGATCGTCTTGCTCTGACGTCGAGCGGTACAAACCAGCAGCAGCCATTGTGGGAACAAGTGGTGATGATTGGCTAGTAGTTCAGCGATCGTTCTACTGACGTTCTCGTTGTCTCTTCTGGAGTCTCTGGTACCGGTTTGCGGGGGATTGAGCGTTTGTCCTTCGTCGATCGAGTCGACTAACAAGAACAAACAACTTTTCGGTGGCTCCACCTCTAGCAGGGGTATCAGCAGAGCCTTCTTCAAAGCGTCGTCGGGATCTCGATCGAGAACGTCCGGCTGCAAGGCGGCTTGTATATCCGGATCTGTTCTGAGTTTCTCGGCGTACGCTTCTGCCACGGCCTCCCTCGAAGTTAGAGGAACTGTTGTGGTGGTGGTGGTTGTGGCGTTGCTCGGAGTTGGCGAACTTGGAGAGGCTCTGTGAAAACGGACGCCATTACTTTTCTGTTCTTCACGACAATTTTTCTTTATTAATATACTTTATTAATTTTCTTTATTAATACATCATATAAATGATATGATTCAATTATGGATACATGGATATAAACTATGTAGGGATGTAGAGGACTTAGGGAGACTTCTTAGAAATACTTTAGGATCTCTCAAGAAAAATCTACATAGGAATCTTCCACCTGGAATAGCCTTGAAATCTGCAATTCTCCTAAAATCTTGCTAGGTTATCTATAGTATCTACCAGAGTCAACCTACAAGCTTCCAACATCTCCTTGGAATATTCTTAGAATTTCCAAAAAATTTTCTTAAAGTCTAACTATAATTTTGATCTCTCAAAGTCAACTCTCAAGATATAGCTACAATCTGTCAAGAATCTGCATAGAATTGTCATAGTATCTCCTCTAGGTAGGATTTTGCTCTGTAACACGTTTAACCAACCTATGAATGCCATCGGAGCTAGCCTGAAGTAGCTGAGCGACCAAAGACCTGACGAACTGAGCGGGAGACAAGGATGCCTCGCTCCTTGCCTGGCAGAAGTGCCTGGCGAGCAGTCTCCTGTTCAAGGACCTCTGGTGTTTAGCGTTGGCGCCGGTCGACGGCCATGCTAATTCCGCGCACAAAGCTGTCTTGCCGCTTCCTGGTCCTCCGACGATCAGAGCACCGCACGTCTTCGAGGCCGGCCTCTGCTCCAGACAATGGGACAGCTTGATGAACGCCCATTCACGGCAGAAGAACCGTTTCTTCTCTATCACCGGTGCAGCCATTCCGACGTCTCTCGGTGTGTCGTTCAATCGATTAGTCGGATCGCGTGTTCGCTCGTTGGCCACGGTCTCATATTAGGTACGGTCTCTCGTTGGAAACTCGCAGCTTTGGGGGGAGAAGAGGATCAAAATCGAGGTTTCGACGGATCCGAGCTGTGGAAAGCCTCGCGTTTACGCGGATATTAGCTGGGGTCTAGATTGGCTGCGATGTGGCGCGGCTACGATTGATCTCGATGTACACGGACGAGGGAACACTGGTCGGAGCCCCAGGGGGCTCTGAGGCTTCCTCGGCCTCCATTCAGCCTTCTCATAGCCTCGTTGCGGACGAGCACCGCCGCGTCCCGTATCGCTGCATTCTACCTGCAACAGCAAAAGGAGACAACGTTTATTGCACCCCGCGGGATACGAGTTAGACCCGCCCGATGATGTCCGCGTGAAATCTACATGAATTCTTTACACGTGACAAGAGATACTTGATAGATGGCCGAATGCGTGATAACGACGATGAAACTTTTTTCTAGTCATTTTTAGTGGTTTCTTTTGTTGAGTTTGATGGACAGATGCCTCTCTTGAATTATTTGCAACTTCGTTTTGGGTGTAGATGAGATTTTCATTTGGGACATGTTCATGATTGTGATTTGATTTATTTAAATTGATTAAAACAAACTTTAGTTGCTTACGTAGAATAATATGGAAAAGTAGTGGAATAATAGAATAGTTGTGTAGTAGAGTGACAGAATAACAGCATAGTGGAACAGTAATATAATAGAGCATTAGAAAGGCAATATAGTAGTATAATAGAATAGTAGAATGACACTATAGTAGTATAATAGACTAGTAATATAATAGAATCTTAGTGTAGTAGAACAGTAAAATGGCGGAATAGTAGAACAAGAAAATGGCGTAGTAGAACAGTAAAATGGCCGCGTAGCACAACAGTAAAATGGCGGCGTAGTAAAGTAGTAGAATGACATTCAATTCGAATCGTAAATTAAAAGAATATACTACAAAAGTATAATGAAACAGTGGTCTAATAAAATTATAGAATACTGCAACAGTAAAATAGTAAAATTTCCAAAACAGTATAACAATAATAATAGTAGCAGAACAGCAATATAATAAAATTGTATAACAGAATAACAGGAGAAAATTATAACGCGATATAATTTCCTCTCCGCCAAACAACGAAAGCAACCGTTTAACTTCTCCAATTTCTTATTTCGCCCACTTACAGAAATTCAAAGTGAATTTCGCAGCGGAAGAGAAGCAGATCCCTGAAATAGAGTTCACCGTAGTTCATGTTCGTTGAATACAGTGCATTTACCCGTGGCACTTCGCCGCTGCATTCTACCTGCAACAGCAAAAGGAGACAACGTTTATTGCACCCCGCGGGATACGAGTTAGACCCGCCCGATGATGTCCGCGTGAAATCTACATGAATTCTTTACACGTGACAAGAGATACTTGATAGATGGCCGAATGCGTGATAACGACGATGAAACTTTTTTCTAGTCATTTTTAGTGGTTTCTTTTGTTGAGTTTGATGGACAGATGCCTCTCTTGAATTATTTGCAACTTCGTTTTGGGTGTAGATGAGATTTTCATTTGGGACATGTTCATGATTGTGATTTGATTTATTTAAATTGATTAAAACAAACTTTAGTTGCTTACGTAGAATAATATGGAAAAGTAGTGGAATAATAGAATAGTTGTGTAGTAGAGTGACAGAATAACAGCATAGTGGAACAGTAATATAATAGAGCATTAGAAAGGCAATATAGTAGTATAATAGAATAGTAGAATGACACTATAGTAGTATAATAGACTAGTAATATAATAGAATCTTAGTGTAGTAGAACAGTAAAATGGCGGAATAGTAGAACAAGAAAATGGCGTAGTAGAACAGTAAAATGGCCGCGTAGCACAACAGTAAAATGGCGGCGTAGTAAAGTAGTAGAATGACATTCAATTCGAATCGTAAATTAAAAGAATATACTACAAAAGTATAATGAAACAGTGGTCTAATAAAATTATAGAATACTGCAACAGTAAAATAGTAAAATTTCCAAAACAGTATAACAATAATAATAGTAGCAGAACAGCAATATAATAAAATTGTATAACAGAATAACAGGAGAAAATTATAACGCGATATAATTTCCTCTCCGCCAAACAACGAAAGCAACCGTTTAACTTCTCCAATTTCTTATTTCGCCCACTTACAGAAATTCAAAGTGAATTTCGCAGCGGAAGAGAAGCAGATCCCTGAAATAGAGTTCACCGTAGTTCATGTTCGTTGAATACAGTGCATTTACCCGTGGCACTTCGCCGAAAGAAAGGTGGAGAAATCCTGTCGCGTCTAATGGAAAGCTTGAATTAGGTTTCCAAGTTGCACGTTAAATGATCTGAAATTCGTATTAAACGGGCGTAATAATTGTCTGTTGGTGGGCGACAGGTGGGACGAAATTACGAGAGAGAATGCCCGGGATAGGGGGGAAAACGCGGAGGGTTAATGACAAACTGGTCCCACTAATGAGAAGGAGATACCTAGGATCTTCTGCTGTCTGACTTTTCTAATTACTAGTACCGCATGTTTCTACCTGCTGTCACGTGGATTTCAACTGTTTGCCGCTGTAACTGAAACGTGCTTATCAAAATCTTTGTAAACGATTTCGTGTCAGTTGCAAAATTATATCTGTACTTGGGGATGTTTTAACGCTTTATCAATAATACTTAATTTTTTTAAGATTATTTGTTGTAACTGTACATTTTATATTAATTGAGAATTGAAGGTTTAGGAATAATGTAGTTAGGAATGTTAAGACTAGAGACCTCGACATTTGACAACTTAAAAATTTTGTAGGTTTGAACATTTTCCTCAGACAGAAACCTCCAGGATTTCTTATAGAATATATTAATATATTATTTCTATTATTTCTATTCTTATATTTCAATTTTTCGTGGCAAAATTCTTTAGACAACCAGTTTGATTAGATCATCAAATATCCTGAGAATAACAATTTCCTAGATCTCAAGCTTCCTTGTCGAAAATTCCCTAGATCCTAAATTCCCTGTATCTCAAATACCCTTGATGTAAAAATTCCTTAGGCAACCAACTCACCTATATCGTCAAGCATCTGAGAATAAAACTTTCCTAGATCTCAAGCTTCCTTATCGAAAATTCCCTAGATCCTATATTCCCTATAACTTAAATACCCTTGATGTACAAATTCCCTAGACAACTAACTTGCCTATATCATCAAATATCCTGAGAATAAAAATTCCCTAAATCTCAAGCTTCCTTGTCAAAAATTCCCTAAATTCTACATTCCCTATATCTCAAATACCCTTGATGTAAAAATTCCCTAGGTAACTAACTTGTCTATATCATCAAATATCCTGAGAATAAAAATTCCCTACATCTCAAGCTTCCTTGCCGAAATTCCCTAGATGCTACAGACTTGCCTATATTCTAAAATATCATGAACATAAAAATTCCTAAATCTTCCAAGTCAGCTACATCCCTTGATTCCTCAAACTCTGTACATCCTTCAGTTTCTTATATTTTTAAATCTTTATTGTAAAATTTCCTGTATCAATCACTCCGAAAATTTAGTCGACGCGACAGCCTAGTAATAATAAGGTCGACGGAGTTTTGGAACAGCGTTAAAGTTACTCATGCCAGATGTTCAGCGGAGATAATACGCGGCAACGGAGTGGCTAAATTGGACCTGTTCGAAGTCCCCGGGGTCGTCCATTCGCTGCGAATTTAATGAAGAGAGTAGTGTATCGGCTAGACACACGTTGGCCAAATACGGAAGCCACTGTTCGATGTCAGTTTTAAGTGGGTCAAGTCTGCCTTGACTTCGCTTCGTATGAATTTTAAACCGCGCACAGCTGGATCCTGCGGCATTTCTGTCCGGTTACGTGCACCAACGATCACGGTTTCGCGTTTGTCGGACAGATGTTTCGATCCTCTCGTCAACCATCTTAACGAGTCAATACTTGATCACCGCTCTTCTGTTTATGGCTAATTACGCGTTCAAACAGTCGGAATTTGTCTGCTCGTAATTGCCTTAATAAACTTTTACATTCTTTACGTTGCTTAAGTGAACTTAAGAATGCATTCGAGGAGACAAAACCGAAGGCTTTTAATTTAAGACAGAAATTCAGCAGAGAGCTCTAAGTCAAATATGGACACCAGTATTGACTGGTTCACGCTAATAATTTGTAAATATTCGTAATTGTTAACTTTACCTAGGCAGTATATAATTAATATCTTACGCAAGCAACTTTACGTAAGTGAAGATCCGTACGTGTCCGATAACGAGATTCAGCTAGGATCACTTTTCCCACAATTTGACGAGCGAAGAAGCGAAACCTTTAAATCGTTTATCCCCGTAATTCCATCTCGCGAAGATTGACGTTCCCTGATTGAACGTCGAATAAATCACGAGCCGTTTATCGGCGTGCATCGGAGGATGAATTTTCAGCTTAGGTTTAGTACTAATTTGTCGGGTTCGACGTGTTCGAGACGGTGTCACGACACAGATTGCACGGGGAATAAAAAAGCGAAATGAACGCCGACAATGGCTGAACCGGTGTCATGGTTTATCGTTTGTGAAATGGCTGTTAAGGCAGGTCGTCGTTCGGATCAGCCGATCGGTACAAGGGAATCCAGCGCACGTGGTATCAGTAACAACGCGTATGACACGTGAGATAAGCGGGAACTGGCAGCTCGTATTGTGCGACTATGGCAGTAAATTTGAGAGAATGGATCTTTGAACGCGCGACAATGAACGCGTTTGATTCGTGCAGCAGTTTAGGATGATTTGCGATCGGAGGTGCATCGTTGCTTTTTTTGATTCTATCGGAGGATTCGTGTACACTTGGCATGGGATGTCTTTGACTTAGGAGTGAAACTAGGGTCCAATAGTTAGTTTAATTTTTCGGAGATTTCTTGGGATCCGGAGATTCTGAGATACGACTCAGGGTATTTAGGTTTTGGAGACTTGAAAATTGAGGGATGTAGAAAACGTTGTAGCGGAAAATGACGCACTCAGGAAGATTGCTCGGCTGTCAATCGTAATTTGTTTGATAGCCGGCACTCCCATGGAAATAAGACATCAGGGTTCGTTATTTGCCCGTTTAAAAGCGTCTGGGGAGACACGTCGTCGTGGTACGTTCCAGATTTCCACAATGATTTTAACGAAGCTCGGCGCGATCCTCGAATGGAGAGGATCCCGCGAAACGAAATTTCCCCGGATTCGCACGTTTTAATTGCTGTAAATCTGTCCCACGTCGGGCGTGAGAGAGCTCTGCGAAAACGTGAAAGTGCGTTTTCCCTTGGCACTCAGCCG